GCTTGCTGAGCTGGCATGAGAAGTGTTGACGTGGCGGGACTCGCAGCATTGGCAGGACCATGACGGATTGGAGGCGGGTGTAGAAAGGAGGCGAGACGAAAACGAAGCTTAGCCGTTGTGTTTGTAGGGGAAGGCAACGATGAATGAATGATTGCAAGCTTAGACTATTGATTGGTATTCAAACGTGGTATTCTTGCTTCGCTTCTTTGAGCGAATGTGCTTTGGTGTGTTCATGCCGACCTTGTTGTCCATCCCCTGACCCTGACCATGTCCTCTATATGTACACTCTTGCCTATTTTACATGACATGCAACCCGGAACCAATGTGTGCGACTGCCTATTCCGTGGATAAGATATCCTTGAGGTTGATCTCACCGCTGCCCCGCGGTAACGGCTTGGACTGATTATCACCCTCGTGCCATCCAATCATGAAGATGATGCGGAACGTCGCAGGGATGCTGCCGTCCTCATTGCCATGGAGTTCTCGGTAGATGGCCTCGTTCGCCAGCAGTACATCCCTCCCGATGGGCCCCATCTCGCGGCCGAGCACGGCATTCGACTCGCCCATGGCCTGTAAATCCTGCATCAAGGCAAACGTGTCCGGGTAATCGACAATAATGTCCTCGACATCGACGGTGAGCAGCTTGAAGCCGGTCCGCTGCAGCAGACCACCCATATCCTTGACATCGGCGAGTGGGCTCACGTGCGGCGAAATGCCCGCCCCTGCGGTCCTGGTCCGCGAGCTGCAGACTCGTACGAAGCTCGTAAAGGCTATCACCGCCGAGCATGGCGCACATGAAGGGGGCGTCTGGCTTGAGAACGTTGTTGATCTGGGTGAGGACGCCGGGCAGGTCGTTGATCCAATGCAAACTCATGGAGCTCAAGACGAGGTCAAAGGTTGCCGGGGGCATAGGGGAGAAACTCCTCATTGTCGAGAACATCGCGGGTGATGGTGATGTCCTTATTGAAGGGGAGGTCGGCATCGCGGTGGAGGAGAGTGCTGGAGGATTCGGCGGCAACCAGCTCCTCGATGCCCGTCGCGAGAGGCGGGCTGATGGGGAGGGCTGGATCAGGATCGGGATTCTCTGCCGTCAGGGCGCGGGCAATGTTGCATGAATTGGCGCCGAGGTCGAGGACCTTGGGAAAAGAGCGATTGATATCCTGGTTGAGGAGTCAGCCTATACCTCGATGGAGGCGTCGTATCTGTGTGTTTGTGGCGGGGCAGACCGTACCAGTAGGCGCTCGCAAAGTCGCCTGGCCACCTCGTCCTTGAGGTAGTCAGACTCCCGGCTAGCTTCAGCGTCAGCGGCGGCACGCTCCTTTTGCAGCCATTTCGTGTGACGGTTGAAGACCTGGAAAGTTGGTGATCCGCCGGCTTGGAATGCGTAGAAGCGGCGAGGTGCAGCGCGGACGGCAAGCTTGGTGGAAGCTCGGAGCCAAGTCGATGAAGCTTGCCCGAGGGGGCGCAGGGATCGCAATGTCTGATGCATAATGTAGGGAAAACGGGCGCGCTTCGCCCTCACATGCCGGAGATGGGTATGGCCGCCTACTCGTCCGTCGTCAGGGTTGGAGGTGGGTGCGACGGAGATATCGAAGAGAGTGCGAGCTTCGACTTCGCCAAAGTCGATGATGGCACCCACACCTCAGAGCAGCTACAGTTTGGATTCCAGGGTGGAGACATGCACAGACCATGTACCGTTGCTGCTGTCTTTCATCTCGACTTTGTGTACCTCACAGCAGTGTCTGGGCGGATCTTGCATGTATAGAGAGGCCATCCCAGCTTCAGACCACAGTAAAGAAGTCGGTGGGACGCGCATGCGGTTAACCCAAGTCCTGAGAAAGACATTGCGCGTTGCTGCTATTGAACAATACATTCAGTGAGCGATGTACTTCAAGACTTGGGCTCTTGATTAATATCGCCTCCCCAAAACAAACACACGCCGTGGCAAGTGGAGTCCGATGGGTGCCCATCATTAGTAACCCCCTAAGATACCCTAGACCACGCCCCTAAAGCCCCGGTCTGAGCCCCTCTCCAGCGTCTGCACTGTAGAATGAGCACGAGCACCAACGCCAGGACCCCTGGTCGCTAACGAGGAGAGACGGAGTATCCATCCTCTCGATTCTAGATGTGGTCGCCTTGGACAGGGGCACATCGTAACACCAACTTTTGGGCCCTCAACCACGTCTCTCGCCGTGATCGACAGCCATTTCGCTCCTGGCGCGCACTTCTGCAACACCAATCCCGTCGCTAGCCACCCTGCCGACCAATCCTCCAAAACCCCGAGCTCCGAACGACACGACCTGACCGCCAGTCGACCATCTCCCAAAGCCCCCCCCCCACCACCACCACCACACTGAACCAAAGTGCGACAGCCGGTTCGGCCGGGCATACATCACCTGTGCCGGTTCACGACTGACGACCTCGCGATTCCCAAGCTCTGCGCATATGGAGTAAGGGATACGATCGAAGCAGAGCTCTACTCTGACCACAACGATTGACGGCGGCGCCAACATCCGTACCAACCAACAGACCAACGCGAGATTCCTGTAGCTGCCACAACCCCCCCGCCCCTTTCCATCCACAAAATGTCGGCCGTAACGGGTGGCTTCCTCGGCCGGTCGAGTAGTAATACGGCCAACATGCGAGGCCTCGTCCAGTTCATTGCCGACTTGCGAAATGCTCGAGCGAGAGATCTCGAAGAAAAGAGAATCAACAAGGGAACTGGCCAACATTCGTCAAAAGTTCAAAGGTGCGCCCAATGTGACGCCATCACCTGGCTGAAGGGAAATTCTGGACGTCAAATACTAAGGGTACATCAGATGGCAGTTTGAGCGGCTACCACAAGAAGAAATATGTTTGCAAGGTACGGGTTGATTACGACATGCTGTCCTGCCCAACACTTGATCGAGACTAACAACTCTTGTCAGCTGCTCTACATCTACATCCTCGGATGGAACGTCGATTTCGGCCACCTCGAGGCCGTGAACCTCATTTCAGCAACCAAGTATTCTGAAAAGCAGATTGGTTATCTCGCCATGACCCTCTTCCTCCACGAGAAGCACGAGCTGCTTCATCTCGTCGTCAACAGTATCCGGAAGGATTTACTGGAGAACAATGAACTCTTCAACTGTCTCGCTTTACACGCCATTGCGAACGTGGGTAGCAAGGAGATGGGTGAAGCCTTGAGCAGCGAGGTCCACAGGCTCCTGATCGCTCCGTACGTCTCATTGGGAAAACAACAACGCAGAATTGTGATGCTGACGCCTGGGCAGTACATCCAAGACCTTTGTGAAAAAGAAGGCAGCTCTGACTCTGCTGCGCCTGTACCGCAAGCACCCCGAGATTATCCAGCCCCAATGGGCTGAGCGCATCATATCGCTCATGGACGATCCCGATCTGGGCGTGGCTTTGTCAGTCACATCCCTCGTTATGGCCCTAGCACAGGACAACCTCGAACAGTACCAGGGTGCTTACGCCCGAGCCGCAATCAAACTCAAGCGCGTCGTTATCGACGGCGAGTTCACACCCGACTACCTCTACTACAAAGTGCCTTGCCCCTGGATCCAGGTCAAGCTACTCCGCCTCCTACAATATTTCCCTCCGTCCGGTAAGCACTAGAAGCCAAGCCCTTATGCCATGGTGGTGGGTCAACGTGCTAACAAAGAGCAGAGGATACCCATATCCGCGACATGATTCGAGAATCTATTCAAAAGATTCTTAACCTCGCCCTTGAACAGACCAAGAACGTTCAGCAGAATAACGCGCAAAATGCCGTGCTGTTCGAGGCTATTGATCTCGTCATCCACTTGGACACGGAGACTGCCCTTATGAAGCAGATTTCCTCCAGGCTGGGACGTTTCCTCACTTCACGGGAAACAAATGTTCGCTACCTTGGTCTCGAAGCCATGACGCATCTTGCCGCGCGGGGCGAGAACCTGGAGCCTATCAAGCAGCACCAAGATGTCATCGTGGGGTCCCTCAAAGACCGGGACATCAGTGTCAGGAGGAAAGGCCTTGACCTTCTCTACAGCATGTGCGACACGTCCAACGCCCAGGTCATTGTTGGCGAGCTGCTGCATTTTCTGCAAAACGCCGACTTTGCTATTCGCGAAGAGATGGTGCTGAAGATTGCTATTCTGACGGAAAAGTACGCTACCGACGTTCAGTGGTACGTTGACATCTCGCTGCGACTGATCGCCATGGCCGGCGACCACGTCAGCGACGAGGTCTGGCAGCGCGTGATTCAGATTGTGACCAACAACGAGGAGTTGCAGGTCTACGCGGCCCAGCACTCACTTCAGTACGTCAAGCAGGACCACTGCCACGAGACGCTCGTCAAAATTGGTGCGTACATCCTGGGCGAGTTTGGTCACTTGATCGCCGACCAGCCCAAGTGTAGCCCGATTGAGCAGTTCCTGGCATTGCAGGGCAAAATTTCGGCATGCTCATCGCCTACTCGAGCCATGATTCTGTCCTGCTTTGTTAAATTCGTGAACCTCTTCCCAGAAATCAAGCCCCAGCTCCTCAACGCATTCCGCATCTTCAGTCACACGCTGGACTCGGAGCTGCAGCAGCGAGCTTGCGAATACCTGGCCCTGGCCAACATGCCCACGGACGATCTTCTGCGCACAGTTCTAGACGAGATGCCGCCGTTCCCCGAGCGCCAGTCGGCACTGCTGTCGAGACTGCATCAGAAGCACGCCAACACAAGTGATAAGAGGACTTGGGTTGTGGGTGGTAAGCATGCAAATGCAGACGCGTCAGAGCTGGCCATGGCGAAGAACGCGGCCCTCAAGAGAACCTTCAGCTCCAACGGCGGTTTTCTACGGGGCGCCAATGAGGGCGAACGCCAAGAAGGAGGAAAGGAGTTGTGGGGCCTCGACAAAGAGAAATATTTGATCTGTCGAGACCAAAAAGAA